CCCTTAATTTGAGTTTATTTAAAAAAACATTTTAAGTTTATTAAACATTTTTACACAAAAATCATTTCCATTCTATATAAATATCATCAAATACACGTTTAACTTTATAATCAAATAAGAATTTTTCAAAATGAATCATTCTCTTTAAATTTTCAACTAATTTCTCATCCGCTACTACAACACGAAAACATAATAATCGAATGTGATGATTATATTTAGTATTAATTTTCATCAAAATCTTTGGTATATTGTCTTCAATATCCATATGGTTTGAAAAATCTACTTTAAGATATGTCATACGTGGACACTGGTCAATTAGAAAATAAATATCTTCTATTTGATTCATTTTTCTGAGATAAACTTTTGTAATTTGATTTTGACATGTTACCGTAGGAAGAAGTTTCCTCTCTTCATTGATCATAGTTGTTAGATTTGATAATCGTAAAGAAGAAAGTTGTAATGAATCAAGATATGGTAATAAACTTAACATTCTGATCAATTCGGTCGAAAAAATTTCGTCGTTATTAATTTTCAAATGATACACTTCTCCTGCAGTTAAAATACGTCGCAGATAATACCATTCGTCAGTATAACAAATAATCGTAAAAACAATTTGCATAAATTTCGATGAATTAATCATATTATATTGTGAATCATATTCAAACCATCGTTTTCTAAAAAGAATACGTTTTAAGTAGAAAAAAAACATTCCGTTTATATACTTATATGGATGAATTGAATATATGAAAATGTCTAAATGAATTTCAGTTTCGAATATCCATTGTCGTTCGATCCAAAATGATGAATTGAAACTATTTGATGTACTCATATGCCTTTTATTTCTATGACGATGTTCACGGAATTCACATGTGAAATAAAGTTTTTCTAATTGAGATAAATATTTCAAAATGAATTTTTCCCAACGATCAGCATTAAGATAATTCATATCTTCAGCTTGACTTTCAAGAGATAAAACCTTTAATTTTGAATGTATCTTTGTAATGAATATTTCAAATACACCGAATTTAAGATCAGTTTCATATATAGCAAGATATGTTAAATTTGGTAATATTATCGGCGACATAAATCCAACATTGAAAGTGCTAGATCTTTTATGTGTAAAACTCAAGTGTTCTATTTGAGTTGTATAAGAAAGTATTGAAAAAAGATTATTTAAAGTGATTGAATGATTCATAATAAGATATTTAATATTATTGATTTGTTTATGGATACACAATGGCATGGAGACAGACACTTCGGGTTCCATTGCAAAAAATCTAATATATTTCAATTTTGGTAAATCAAAAATGGATCGATAAATGTCGGTTAAATCTGCTGAAATATTGTCTATGTTGATAGTTAATGAAAACAGTCGAGGTAAATGAATTAATTTAGAAAGCAATGATATTAATATATCTGGTTTAATTGAATGAAAAATAAGAGATTCAAGACGAATAAATGACGAATCGAAGTTGAATAATGAGATCATCTTCGTATGTTTTGATGATAAGAAATGAATGGAAAGTATTTGATTGTTATTAACACGAATCATTTGTTCCGATGTTGATCGACGAAATGTAATTTTAAATAAAAGAGATGAAGATTTAATAAGTCTTTGAAAACGATAATTGAGATTAGAAAATACTTGATGCATATGACAAGCACCAAGATAATCGAAGATTTCATTGAATAATTCATTAGGTAAATTTTCGATTGAACTTATCGAGTGATCAATTCTGTCTATTATAAAAAGAATAGAAATAAATTTCCATTTACTCTAAAAATATTTTACTTCTCTTTTCTAACGATTGATTATAATTTAATTTTTGTTTGTCTTTATTCATTTGTTTGATGGAAGATTCAATATGATCTAAAAATATGTAAAATACTTGCCGACTATTCCTTATTAATGAAACAAGAATAATTAGCAATTTTTTTATGATCTGATCTTGCTAGAGTTGGATACCTAGAAGAAATTCTCAATGGTATTGTAACAATCATTGGCCATCATGCTTTATCTGTGTGACCGCTTGACCGGACATTGACCTTTTCTCTCATTGTTCTCTCATATGCAATCACTTCTTCATGAGTTGTATTTAATAAAGAAAGGTCACAGTTGGGAAGTATACAGATGCCGCTCGACACCAACATATTTCAAGGATAGATGTGGATGTGAACGAATACCATACATACATTCAATACCACATCCACACCCTCAAGATTAGGCAATACTCAATACCACGATATATGAGAAATGCAGAATATTCTCTTTCTTTTGTACCTTTAGGAAGCTCTACCCCCTTATAAAACATATATTTTCAAAAAAAGTCGAAGTTGATTTTTCATTACAGGAAGATGCGCCGAGATCTCCTCTTTCCAAAACGGTCAGATTTCAAAGTACTTTCTCAAAAAAAACTCAGACATCATACTACCATAGTTTTTTAGGTATCTTCGTAATTTTTGTTGTTTTGTTTTGAAAGTCTCGATGAGAGGAACTTTTTAACAACCAGTTTTTTGTACTCATTTTAAGACCTGTCTATGAAAATACTCATAAAAAATCAGTAATATATATTTTAAAAATTCTGTGTGGTAAAGAGGTGCGCACTGGCATGGACTTTAATTTGAAACCGCTTCGAGCTCTATACTTCGTCCTGAGACGGAGTTATATCGATTCTCCTACAGGTCAAAAATCACTTATGAGTCAGCTACAAATTCGGTCTGATACGACCTACTGAGCTGAAATTTTTACCAGTAGCGTATCTCACCAAGACCACTCATCGCTGGGAATTTCAGATTAAATAGACCATCCTAAGTGAAAAATCGTTGGTAAGGGGGAGGGGGAACCTTAAGAAAAACAAATCAAGACAGTAGACAATAGGAACAATAAAGTTATTACAACATGATCGATGGTTATTACATATATTTACTCATATAATACGTCAACAAATATTTCAGGAGTTTTAAAATTAAAACAGTATCCAAGCTCCACGTTCACGCATGCAATAAACACAAACTTTTTGGCGATCTCCATAGGTCATTGAAACCCAAGATACTTCGAAGTACTTCAAACTACTGCTCAATATTTTAATTTATTTTTTGACTTGATGTTTGTTTTCGCTCTTTAGTCCGATATCCACCCACTTAGTCTATGTGGTGTTTTTCATCTGCTTTAACTCACAACTTCTGGATATTAACATGCAACAAGATGTCGAGATTTGTCAACGATTAGACAACTCAAATATATTTAAAAAAGTAGAAGCACAAATTATTTAGTAATCCAGCAGTAATATTCTAGCAACTTGTATATCCGTTTTTCAATAGTATCAGAGTCAATTAATATATGTTTGTAGGATTAAAAATAATTTCAGTTGACAGTTTAAGACGATTGTCGCGCATTTTCGTTGCATTTATAGCAAAATTCCAAGTTATCTATTATGTTGTATTAGTCATCATAGAAAATAAAATACAAACTTATTTTCTTTCTTCCTTCTTTCCTTCATTATGCTTTTTCGTTAAGATGAATCATTCATTACATTTTTTTTCCTTGCTCTATATTTGAAATTACCGTGCAATGACACGTATAACTACATTATTTGAAAAGTTTAAACTCTTACAAATTTCTATATGGAACAAATAAAACGTTTATGAAGTTGCAACTTGCATAGTTATGATAATAACAACACTGTAAGTCAACAAAATAAATTCTATATGTGGGTTGGGTGGGTGTGAGTAATTACATTGTTTTACACCCTCACGTACTTTGTCATCCTTACAAAAAATGGATTCATTTTTTCGGAGTGAATGTTGAACAAAACTACAAATAGCTGTAACCCTATTTTGTTCGATTTGAAGTAAATCGATATTTTTCTATTCAGTTTCATTGTTTTGACACTTGCTTTAACTTTTGTGTTGAGTTGATTTTTCTTGTTATATGTTTGTCTGTTAATTATTATCCGCATAAGTAGAGTTAAAATTAAATATACGGATAGGACTAGTATTCTTAAAGTATTTTGTATGGATATTGTGGCTTGCTTATACGATAATTTCTTTGCTTAATTCTGCAAAAAGTTAGAAATTCTTCTCACTGTAATTCGTCTCCACTTTCCAACTTGTAATGTAGATAGTGCATGACGAATTGCATTTGCTCTGTCTTCCTGTCGATCAAATGATTAATTTTATGACTTCGTGCATCATTAATTTTTCTCTCGCTGTGTATATTTATTTCAATTGATGTTCTGTATCTTAAAGGTAAGTGATAGATAAAATCATGACTCTGAAACATTTATTTTCAATCTATAATAAATTGTAATGTAGACAGTTCTATCCAAAAGAAGTCATGACTTATCATGATAGATAAAAATCTGTACAGAGAAAATATGAAAGAATGTCTAACGCTGACGCATTTTGCTATTAATGATTAATAGAGGAAGTTGGTAATTTCTCTACATCATACTAATTTTATGTACGGCCCCCGTTGTATGAATTGTTTAAAGAGAACAAAGTATTGACAACGTTCGAACATATTTCAAATATTTTACATCATCAACAAAATGCTTGCAAGTCGACCACGGTTTCAACGTAGACCAAACCCTCGCCTACGGATTCAACCACGACCGCATCATCGCCCTCCGATTGGTAATGGTCGATCAGTATCACTCATCGAGTACAAGTGGAAATCAATTTGGCCATATCGCATTTCTACTGTCCTTGGTAGCTTGATTATATTTTTTGCTGTTGTTTTAATCGTTCTGGAAATCGCTCTATTGGGTACGTATATTACTGTAACGATGTCTACTGCCACGTTGACACTCATAATCTATCTTGAAAGAAAATTTTCAATGACCCGATTTGAGTATCTAATATTCATCACAAAACAACAGTTTAAGTGCTCGATTTTTTTAGACGGTGATGTTTAGTCATCGATACTATTTCTGTCTCGAATTGTTATCATTAACAAGTATGGATAAGAAATATATATAGCACAAGAAAACATAAAAATGAGTGATTTGAATTAAATGAAGTTTTCTTATTGAATACTGAGACATTAATCGACCAGATGATAATACATATTTGATATAATCAGTATTCTTGAAGCATGAGTGTCGAACCATATGACAGTACCGAGTTAGATAAAGCAAATATATTTATATTCCAAATCGTGTTCTACTTTAGAGTCTAATTTTTCTATACATGTTTAAGGCATTATCGGAAGTGTGGTAAATGGCGGCGTCTTTTCTACTGGAGTTGGCATTTGGACTGGAGTTTTTATCGTTGCCGCTGGTGTCTTCATTCTTATTCTTAGTAAGTAACATTCAATATTTTATTTTGATAATGATACTTTTATTTCATAATCTAGATTGGGTAAAATCTGTTCGCTTGTGGGCCCTCGTAGCATTGTGCACAACCGTTGTCGCCACTGCTTTTGCAATCATTGAGTTCTCAATAAATGCCCGTAGAGTTCAATTAGCATCAGACGCTGGTATTTTTGGCGTTAGTAACTCGCGTGTAGCCAGTATAGGTGGATTACCAGCTGCACAACTTGCACTAGGCATTGTCGTCTTTTTACTCTGTCTTGCTTTTATCGGTCTATACATATATATTGCCGTCAAGGTTTCAAGTCGCAGATCTGATCGACAACAACAACAACAAATTGTTTATCCAGTTCAACAACCATAGGCTACACATATTTATTTGAATTTTATTTAACGAGTATATTGTTACTCAAGAAAAAACTCTTATTATTTAAAGTTATATTTCTTTACTTTCAATTATCACATTCGCTCTAATTATTCGAATTTGTCTTTTTTGCTATTCTAAATAAACGAGATTATTAAAACAATCAGTTTATACATTTAGGGTGGTCGTAATTGTGAGTATAGACTCGCGAAATGAAAAGATTACTCACATTCACATGCACACTCAAAATCACCTTCGGCAGTTACCGCGGAAGGCAGCAAGTAATATCATTTGTTGTCTCAGTAGTAGAGGAATGAAGACTCAGGGTGTGGGTGCGGGTGCGGGTGTGGATATGGGTTCAAATTTTCTTAACTTACACCCACATCCACACACCCGCACCCGCACTCATCCCCAAGCTTTCTTTTGTTAGGAGAAAATTGGATTGTACACAGGTGAAAACAGTCCCAAAGGAGCAGCGTTTGCAAATAGAACTTTTTACCTTGAAAATAAATACAGAAGAGAAAAACCCACTATCTGATATACTGCTCGTCATTCTGGACGTGTAGGCTATCATACTCGTAAGCCATACTGTGCTGTTATCATGAAATGAGAAGTGACTGATAGTGGGTGTGAACGTCAGTGAATCGGAGAATAGACTGACCCACATTCACCGGCATACCTTGACGTTTATTCCAAAGTTTTGAACAAATTAAAAACTACAATTGATGTCGTTCCACAAAAAAAGAATTTATTTGAATAGCTTAGATGCAATTATTCCACAATATCTTACAACTGACTGAGTATGGGTGAATCTGGACTTCTCTTCTGCATCTACATTCACACCCATACCCACACCCATACGCACATTCAAAGTGTAAGGAGAGAAAACAAGAAAACGTACGATAATGATGAGGTATAACATCGCCAAGCATACAACTCAAAGCGTCACCAAAAAGTGTTAGAATCAGTTATCCTTATCTGTTTTTTTGCGCACTGTCTTCGATGTTGTAATTTTTCTGTTTTCACCTTTTTTCATATATTTGTTTCTCTTTATTTAACGATAAAGTTTTTCCTCTTCGGTTCTCTTTTAAGTATTATTCTTTATAGCGCTTGGATATTACCGTATTCAATATTTTGTTTAGAAACCTAAATCTTGAGAGTGTACGTGTGCGTGTACGCTGTGGGTCTTTATTCTTTTTATTTCCTTTCAAGCCCATATCTACAACCGAATCCTGGACGACACATATTTCTTGAATGCATCTTTTTAATGATAAGAGATAAATAGTCATAAAACTATCATAGATATCATTATTTATATCAACATCTTATAGTTGGCATTTATATTTTTGGTGTTATAGAACATTATAGTATTTTCCTTATTTCGTTTTGACCTACTTCTTCTCTTTTCTCTTTCTCTTCTCTTCAACTCCATCATCTTAGTGCGTGATCGATGGTCACACTATCGGTTATTGCGTATATATATTATTTGATACATATATATATATATACATGGAGTTTCCTCTTCTTGTTGTTCTCCTTTTCATTCTTCTATTATAGTTAGTGTTCTTGTGTTCTCATTCAAATATATTCAAACTCACACATACATATATAGTCGAACATTAACATATATCAGACAGATATTCTCTTTTCTTTTTATTTCATCTATTATGCATTCTCAGTGCATTTTCTTGATAAGTTTTGTCTTATTTATACCAAATAATGCTGTAAAACGATCTTCTGAAG